AGACGCGGGCGGGCTCTGGAGGCGCCGTGCGGGGAGCCCAGGGAGGGGCCCGCGCTTGTCTCCCTGTCCTGCACCCACTCTCACTCCTTCGGAGCGTTCTGCATCCAACGCGTCTTGTTCTCGACGAGTTTCTTCGTGTGGTCCCTCCAAGTCGACTCCTAACGCATCAAGACCTTGACAGTTCACTAGGGTGTAAAACTCCAGCGCAGAGGACAACCTAAGAGTAGAAATAAGCTGTTATTGATTTGGTGAAAACATTTTCTTAAAAGAAAAACTTATTGTTAGCTTTTTAAACATTTTAAAAGCTATTATATCCACTATTCTTTCGTTTCAGTACCCCAACATAAGAGAGAATGTGGATGGAATGCATTTCAGGAATGTTGAAGAGTCTTGATGCTACCAAATCGTCTTTATTCTGCCCGCCATTGTGCATGAAGTCTACACGCAGAGTTGCATTACCTCTAATGAATACTTTATAGGTAGTCTTTTTTAAAAATTACGAAGAACTCCAAGAGATCTGTGTACTCTTTGTAATTAACTGGCTGAGGGGTTTCATTTATCGAGTTGTTTTCTAAGCTGATAGTTTACAGTGTTAATTTAGAAGGACCGAAGATCTGGAGCAGGGCCGGGAATTTAGCTCAGTGGTTCCACGCCTGCCTCCCAAGCAGAAGGTCCTCAGTTCGATATCTGGCACCAAAAATAAGTAAGTAAATAGAAGAAATTTGCTGTCGTTCTTTAAAAAAAAGATCTGGATAAGAAGAAAGTGACGGGACTGGGGGAAGTTGGAACAGCCGGATGGGAATTATTAAAGCTGGAGGAATTGGGGATAATGTGTAGCCTTTTAGTGAAGACGCAAATAAAATAATTCTAGAAGCTGACTTACAAAATCTTACCAGTGCAAGTTTATCTTATTTGCTACTTTTTAAAAAGTGCTATGTAGACAAAACAACAATAAAAATACAGCATTTACTAAATTTGAACATAACTTAGTGCTCATGAAAAGCTATCTCATTACCGTTCTATCTTGAATTCAGAGTATCCAGTAGAAAACCTTATAGATACTAGTTTTGTTATTTAATTTTATTACAACTACTTTTAGACATCTAGCTTTACACTAACAGACTTCATCAACTTGAAGATCTAAATTCACAATTTTGTATTTACCTACATTTTTGCTTTTGTGGTGCCGGTACTGGGAATTGAACCCAAAGCTCAGGATCTTACATATACTAGGCAAGGACTCCAGAGCTGAGCTACGCCTCCAGTCCTTTTTTAATTTTTGAGACGGGGTTGCCCAGGCTGGCTTTCAATTTGCCATCTTCCTGCCGCAGCTTTCCCAGTGGTTGTGACTACACACACTCCCACTGCATTTCTCTATATTTTACATCAAAAAGAAGTTTGTTATTAAGATCGTGTGTGGATTTTCTTGCTTTCTTAAAAATAAAGACTACATCTCCCAGCCTCCTTTGCAATGTAGTGAGGCCTCTGACCATCATTCTGGCCAATAGAATATAAGCTTTCAAAGACCTTCCATAAGAGACTGCAGCTGCCCTCCTTTTGCCGGTCCCCCCACCCCCAACCCCCATTTCCTTCATTCTTTCTTCCTCTTGTAACAAGGATGTGACTACCAGGATCTTGGACTGTAAGAAAATAGCCACTCAGGCGGGATGACAGAGCATAGAGGTGGAAGGTTATATGTGGACTTCTTAGATGAGAGCTGCTGAATTGAACTTGGATTTTATGTGAAAAAGAAATAAACTTTGATTTTAGCTCCTTTTTCTTTGGGGAAGGTTCTATTAAATTGAAACTCCATTCTAAATGCAAACAGTTTCTGTGGCCAACAGTTTAGTATCACTCCTGGGAGAAAAATAAGGACTAGTAATTAATATTTATGAAGTGTTCTACACGGTTTCAGGTGCTAATGCAACAGTTACATTTTCTCACTTACCTTCCTCAAGAATTCTGTGAGATATTATCTTCCACTTCACAGATAAGGAAACTAAAATGCAGATAGGTTTTTTTAAATTGTTGAAGGCGACACCCACACAAAGTAGCGGAGGTAGTTTTGGATCCCCTGTCAGTCTGACTGCCACGTGGACAGAGGCCCTTTCACTAAGACAGTGCTGAAGGTAGGATGACGCTACATTTGTCGTGCAGCTAGTGAACATGATTCTACAGTTTCCTCTAGATTCCCTTGTCCCTGACCACACTTTCATCAATAGTGCCTTCAAAAAGCTCTTCAATTCACAGCTAAAGTCTACTCTATTTTTCCCTGACTGCTATACTAGCTCTTTTAGGTAGCGTTCTTTAGCTTTGTTTTCTCCAGCAACTAACATGAGACAATGTACTTTTTTGTAATGCTTTTTGCTAACCAGGAAGCATGTTTGGGTTTGCTTTTTTAAAATCTCTTACCTGAGGGCCTGGGATTCAGTGGTGCCACCGCCTGCCTTGCAAGTGCAAGGACCGGAGTTCGATCCCCAGTACTCCTGCCCACCAAAATCTCTTAGCTGACCTAGCCCTCTGTTGCTTACCTATGTAAGACAAGAGAAAAAAAGTTGAAGAAAATTTCCGTGTCCTTTGAAGAGGATGTCTTCTGCCAAAGGTAATGCTCCCCTCCTTTTAAAGACAAGCAACATTTCCCCCCCATCAGACTTAAAACGAATTATTGCTGGCCTGGTATGAATAGAAATATATGACCAAATTTTTCTTCAAAACAGTGGAATGGAGTAGTAGACATATATTAGTTTAATGTGTCCTCCTTCCTTTCCTTTGCCAAACTGCAACATTCTGACAAATCGAATGCAGAGAAGAAAAGGAATGTCAAACTGGGAAAGGTCAGGCATAATATCAAAGTAATGGAAGTTGTCAATTTTTTAAGAAGTTGCAATTTTTAAGTGGCTTTAAAGACTGTAAAGTCAGACTATAATGTAAATAGAGGAAGTAACTCGGTGAGAACTTGTGAAAAAGAACTGTGGATTAATGGTGGTCATAGAAAGGATAGATGCATATATGCTAAATGACTATTTTGTCACGTTCTCCTACGTGGCAAAGCCCACAAGCATGAAATTTACTCCATTAAAAAATGATTGAGAAAGAGAAAAGATGAAGCAACAGTATCCCAGTATCTATAATAAATAGAGCAAGGAGTTAAGACTGAGCCAGAGATTGCAACTTGGTATGGGGGAAGAGTAACCAAGAGCTAAAGGAAACATCAGATGTCTCCCGTAGTCAGCAGAACACTCGCCAGAAATACAGCTGATCCAAAAAGCTCAAAAAGAAAACAATGAAAAATTAATTACAACCTTGATCTTGACCATTCACCTCCAATTAGATTTATGACATGTCCCATCTAATCTTTGTTGATACAACTCAAATGTGTTTACCTGCTTCTGTTATACAAAACTAACCATGGACTGAGCTTTCTTTTTCAAGTCACTCAAAGAATTTTGGTTTTCTCTATGGGAAAAAAAATTGAATGTAACAAACAATTTATATGAATATTTTTCATTTTTTCTCTACTATTTTTCACAATGGAAAGGACTCACTCCATACAATATGGGGTATTTGGTTTTTATTAATATTAAAATTTTGGACTGGGAAATTGCTCAGTTGTACAGCACCTGGCCAGCATGTTTGAGGCCCTGGGTTTGATCAACAGCATCCATGTGCACACACACACAAACACACATACACACACACACACACACACACACACACGTAAAACTAGAATGAGAAATAGAAGTTTGGCAACATTAATAATAAAACAAAATTCAAGTTAGAATACAAATTAAACCTATGATAATACTGACTTCTAGCTGAATACAAATGATCTATTAACAATTTTACATTTAGTCTACTCCAAAGGTGAACACTTTTTTTTCAAAAAATCAGGAAAGATGATGAGTATATGGAATGTTTCCTCCGTTCAAGGAAAAGTCTACATGAGAGATACAAATTTGGAACCATCAGAATATGGTTAAGACCATAAGAGTAAAAGGTCAGTTTTTTGAGAGTAGTATTTTTTAAAATTTATTTAATGACAGGTCCTCACTATGAAGTTCAGGCTGGCCTTGAACTTACTAGGTAGCTAGGCTGGCCTCAGACTCACAGTGATCCACCTGCCTCAGCCTCCCAAATGAATATTGGGATTATAAGCATGTGCCACTATCCCAGGAGAAAATAGTTTTTAAAAGGAAAATAAGGTCTTGTCCACAGACTTGAGGCACTCCAAGTTTTAGGTATCACATAGAGGAAATGGAGTCAGCAAAGGAGACTGAAAATAAGTGACCTATGGTTAGAAGCAAATCATAAGCAAATGGAATTCAGAAGCCAGGAAAAGAGACTATTTTAAACAGATATGATCAATCAACTGGGCCATCACTAAGAAGCTGGAGAAGATTAAAATGCAGAAAAGTACTCATTGAACTTGGTAGCCTGTAAGGTTTTTTTGTTTTGTTTTGTTTGTACCTTGAAAAGAGCAATTTCAGCCACGTGGTAGAGATTAGTTCAGGTTGGAATGGGAAATAAAGATGTGAAAATACTGTTTGCCTTTTAAGACTTTTGACTGAAGGGGACCAAATAATGGGCCGGTACCTTTAGGATTAAACAAAATATTTATATTTATATCATATTCAACAGAAGGTGCAAGAAAGAAAAGTATGGTTCAGTAGAGAAGTGAGCACCAATCAAAGCCACAGTGGCCTTAATAGAACAAGGAAAGAGATGTAGAGGAAGCAGATGATACAAGGCCAGATGAATTTCTTTACTGGGGCTGGGGTTGAGTAGGGTTAGAGGAAGACAGGGTAATGGGATTACCTCATTTTTGCTGAGCACTTCGAACTGCCTTACACGAATTCATGTGTTTCATCTTAATAGCAAACTCTTGAAGTAACTACACTTTTAAGCAGATGAGGAAGTTGTGCTGAGGGACACAAGTAGCAAGGGACAAAGCTCCCGCGCTAAACCACTTGTTGTGTGCACTGATGTAGGTTGTTAGGATTGGCTTGGGAAAGTGAGAAAGTTTTCTCGTATTTTCTGAATTCTCAATGAAATAGAAATATTCCATTGCCCTAAAAGTGACAACATGAGTCTGAAAATGTTAAATGTTTATTTCACCTTTGTGTCGTATATTAAAATGGTTAGCAGAAGAAAAGCCTAAGTTCTGGAAGCTCTGGAGTCAAACTCAGATTGGAATTCTGGCTTTGCTCTTCTCTCTCTCTCTCTCTCTCTCTCTCCCTCTCTCTCTCTCTCTCTTTCTTTTTTGTTGGGGGGTGGGACAGAATCTTGCTATGTAATTCAGGCTGGACTTGAACTCACTATGTAATTTCTGGTGATCCTCCTGCCTCAGCCTTGCCAGTGCTGGGATTGCAGGTGTGTGCCACCATGCCCAACTCTGGCTTTCCTACTTAAACTGTGTAACCTTTGAC